GGAGGCTCAGGACCCCCACGGGAGGCTCAGGACCCCCACGGGAGGCTCAGGGACCCCACGGGCGGCTCAGGGACCCACGGGAGGCTCAGGGCCACCCCGGCGCCCCGCGGGTCCGTCCCCCAGCGCTGACGACGGCTTCGGGGGCTCGATGGAGACCAACGTGGTGCTGCGCTCGGACGGGCACATCACGTGGGACTCGCCTGCCATCACCAAGAGCTCCTGCAAGGTGGACGTCTCCTACTTCCCCTTCGACGGGCAGCGGTGCCGTCTCACCTTCGGCTCCTGGACCTACAACGGGAACCAGATCGACCTGCACAACCGGCTGGACACCGGGGACCTGAGGGACTTTGTGGAGAACGTGGAGTGGGAGGTGCTGGGCATGCCAGCCACCCGGAATGTCATCACCTACGGCTGCTGCTCCGAGCCCTACCCCGACGTCACCTTCACCCTGCTCCTCCGCCGCCGCGCCTCCTTCTACATCTTCAACCTGCTCCTGCCCTGCATCATGGTCTCCTTCCTGGCACCCCTGGGCTTCTACCTGCCGGCCGACTCGGGGGAGAAGGTCTCTCTGGGGGTGACGGTGCTGCTGGCCCTCACTGTCTTCCAGCTGCTGGTGGCAGAGAGCATGCCACCCTCAGAGAGCGTCCCGCTCATCGGTGAGCGGCCCGTGGGACCTGGGATGCACCCACACCTGGGCTGGCCATGGGGATGGAGTGCAGGCCTCACCCCCTCATAGGATCCCAGACTGGTGTGGATGGGAAAGGACCTTAAAGCCCAACCAGTGTCCCCCCTGCATGGGCAGGGACACCTCCCAGCAGCCCAGGCTGCTCCAAGCCCCATCCAACCTGCCCTTCAACACCCCCAGGGATGGGGCAGCCACAGCTTCCCTGGGCAACCTGGGCCAGGCTCTCCCCACCCTCACAGCCCAGAATTTCTCCCTCCCATCTCAGCTCCAGCTCCCTCTGCCAGCTGGAAACCCTTCCCCCTGCTCCCATCCCTCCCTGCCCTTGTCCCAAGCCCCTCCCCAGCTTTCCTGGAGCCCCTTCAGGCCCTGGAAGCTGCTCTCAGCTCTCCCTGGAGACTTTCCAGACTGTGGTCTCACCTCCTGTTGCCCACACAGGGAAGTACTACATTGCCACCATGACCATGATCACAGCCTCCACTGCCCTGACCATCTTCATCATGAACATCCACCACTGTGGCCCAGGGGCCCGCCCTGTGCCCCCCTGGGCCAGGTGGCTCATCCTCCACCACCTGGCCCGGCTCTGCTGCGTCTACGAGGTGGGTGAGAGCTGCAAGACCCCCCGGCAGGCACCGGGCAGGCAGGAGGGCAGGGGGGACCCCGGGGTGCTGGGGGAGAGCCCTGGGGAAGGGGAGGTGGGTGCTGAGGCTGGGGGCTGCCCCCGGGACCACTGCCTGTGCCACCACGAGGGCCTGTTGAGGAACGTGAACTACATCGCCGGGTGCTGCCGCCGGCAACGCGCGGGGCAGCGCCGCGCCGGGGAGTGGAAGAAGGTGGCCAAGGTGATGGACAGGTTCTTCATGTGGGTCTTCTTCCTCATGGTCTTCCTCATGAGCCTGCTGGTCCTGGGCAACGCTGCCTGATGGCCCCACCTGCCTGATGCAGCCCCTGCCCATCAGCCCAGCCTGGGATGGGGGGTGGCCCTGGGTGCCCCATCGGGGCGGCTCATCCCGGGCACCCCTGGAGCTCCATGGAGCTGCAGGATGGGAGGTCTGCCAGGGATGGGGCAGAGAAGCCCAAAAGTGGGACACCCCCGCCCCCAGCTGGGGCCATCCTGGCTGCAGGGCTGAGGGGTCCCAGCTCCCCAGGACCTGTGGCTGGGTGCCCCCATTGCACCCCATGCCTGAGAAGTTGAACCCACTGGAAATAAACTCTGGATAACACATCCTTCTTCTCCTGCCTGGGGGGTCCAGAGGAGGGCTGGGGGTGGGCAGAGAAGGGAGGTGGGACCCTTGGGGACCCTCCACTGCGTGAGGCCAGGCCTGGTCCTTGCAGTCCCACCCGGAGGGGGGATCAGTAGGTACAAAGACACGAGGGTCAACAAGGGTGTGAAGGACCAGACCTTTCCTCACACCAACATCACACG